ATAATCTGTACCATTGCTTATCATACGTTAGTGAGTTAGATACTACCCTGAGAACTTTTTTTCCATTTCCAGGCATCAATTGAACTATTTTGTACTTCATATTTTTCTGAATTGACTAATTTTGTTTTAATTAACTTGGCTTAAGTAATAATATGATAAAATCAAGGGATTGGTATGACAGTTACATTTTGTCAAAAAGGCTTCAAAATAAATCCAAGAGTCCAGTTTATAATTGTTACAGTTAAGTTCAGGCAAACTACAACTCTAGTTGCTTTTGAGTTACTGAAAACTTAGATTTTTTTTTTTTGTGTGTGTGTGTGTGTGTGATTTCAGAATAGCTTTTCTGGAGTGATAAGGAATATAACACTTAAACTATTAATTAGATACCAGCCCTCAAATTCAGCATTTAAATCCTCCTCCCCCACCAAAGGTTTAGAAATGCATAGAGAATTCAGAAAGTCTAGCAAAAAGCAGCTGCTCGGAGTCAGAGATTTTAGTAGCTGCATGGAGCTAGGGAGAAAGATTTTGAAATTCAAGTTTTGCCAAGTTAGAAGGATTTGATAAACATCTTAGACTTCTTGCTAAAATCTCAGAAAAGATACACCTTCTGAGTAAGACAAGGACTAAATGCTCCACTCCAGAATTAAATACAAAATGGAAATAAATGCACTCTAACAAAACTTTAAACAAGGCTTTTTTAAGTTTGATGTACTCTACTAATAGCATTATTGCTTGCCAACACAAATTCAACATTTTTAGAGGAAGGATATAAAAATACAGTATCTCTATATGTATCAGTCACAATATCTAAGACAAAATAACTTATTACTAGTCATTTGGGGAGGCAGTTAAACATAAATAACTAATCACAGAAAAAGCATAGTCAAAAGAAGCAAACCCATAGATGACCCATATATTAGCCCTGAGACAAAGATTTTTAAAAAGCCATTATATATGTTAAAGAACTAAAAAGAATAGAGAAGCAGAATGTGGATGATGATTCCCAGAAAAGAAATGGAAGCTACCAAAGAACCAACCTGAAATTCTGGAGCTGAAAAATATAACAGCAAAAAAAGAAAAATGTACTGGGTAAAGTTAAAAGATGACACTGCAGAAGAAGAGACCAGTCTGAGGACAAATGAATAGAAATACTCCAGCTGAACAACTGAGAGAACAAATGATTGAAAAAGATTAAGCTACAGAGACTTTTGGGACAAGCTGACAGACATATGTGTAGTGGAGTAACAGGAAAATAGGAGAGAGAGGATATAGGGTAGAATTTTTCTTTTTTAAGAAATTAAAAATTTTCCTGGGCCTCCCTGGTGGATATAAGGTAGAATTTTTCTTTTTCAAGAAAATAAAAAATTTCCTGGGCCTCCCTGGTGGTACAAGGGGTTAAGTATCAGCACTAGGAAGCTATCAGCAGCCACTGCAAAACAAGTTTGATCCCTGGTCAGGGAGCTAACCCAAAGGGGGCAGCAGACCTCTCCTGTGTTGCCCACTGCTCCCCTCAGCAGTGTATTTCAGTCAGTCTACCTGTTCTGCTCCCCACTCTCCCACTCTGTATCTGGTGAATCCTCTCACCCACCACACTTCTGGCCTACATCCCAGCTCTCATAAGCATAAATAGATAAAATAATTCTTTAAAATATTTTTCCTTAATTTAGTGGAAATACATAACCTTCCCTCCCTTCCAAGGATACCACATTTAAGCAAATCATTGTCCAATTGCTAAAACCCAAAGATAAATACTTAAAAACAGTCAGAGAAAAATATACACCTCATAAGAATGATATCTGATCTTCCACCAGAAAATAATGGTGCCAAAACATGAAGGAATAATATCTCTAAAGTGTTAAAATGGACAACTATCAACTTGGCATTTTATACCTGGTAAAAATATAAAGGATAAAAATAAGGAATTTTTAAGATAAAGGAATGCTGAGATGATTTACTTTCTGCAGAAACTCATTAAAAGAAATGCTAAAGAAAGTTACTGAATCTGAAAGGAAATGACACTTGGTGGAAATACGGATCTTTAGGAAGGACTTGGGAGCACCCCAAATTGTAAATACTTTACTCTTAATCTCATTAAGGACAATTAAAATTTTAAAGCAAAAGTAATATCTTCTTTGGAAATGTACAACATACAAAAAGGTAATACATGAAATAATTGCACAAAGAAGATAAGGAAATAGGTGAGTTTATACTGTTGTAATTTGTACATTAAAAAGTCATACAAAGAATTATAGCTAAGAAAATGATAAAGAAGATAGACAAAACAATAAAACATACAAAATACTAATAAGAAGATATAAAAGGAGGAAAAATATAATCAAGACAGGAGGAATAGAAAACAAAGCAAGATTTAAGCCCAACTGCATCAATCATTTCATAAAATATAATGGGTTAAAATTAAAATTATGAGAGATTGTTAGGTTAGATAAAAAATACAAATGCAACATTGTTTATGAGATACTTTTCAAATATAAGAACATTGACAATTATTTTCAAATAATGAAAAAAGATAAAATGAAAATGCCAAGAGAGCTTGTGTGGTTATGTTAAAATAATAAAAATAACATTCTAAATAAGGAATATTGGCATAAAGAGGGATATTTTATAATGATATAAATGTCAATTCAAGGCATAACAATCCTAAACACGTATGCATCATAAACTAGCAATTGAAATTATATGAAGCAAAACATTTCAGAAAATAAAGTAGATTAAAATTATAATCAAAACTGGACAATTTAACATTCCCCTTCTGAGTAGTTGATAAAACAACTAGTACATAAACAAATTCAAAAAGACTATGGTAAGATAACCTGTGGCCTAACTGACATTAACAGGATACTATGCACATTTTCAGTGCAAGCATTCTCTTGTGTGTTTTTCTTTAACATTCTTTTCAAATACCCATGAAACATTTACTGAGACAGGCAATATTCAATGGATTTTTAAAAGTTAGCATGCTAACTTTATACTTGTTTAATCACAATAGAATTAAATTTGAAACCAATAATGAAAAAATATCTAGAATATTCCAAAATATTTAGAAATTAAGCAAAATATTTCCATATAAATTATGGATCAGAGAAAAAATCACAAAGACTACAGAAAATATTTGAAAAAATGACAATGAGAAGACAACAAAATTTGTAGGATACAGGTGAAGTGGTAACTAAAGGAAAACTGGCAACTTTACATGAGTATATTACAAAAGAAGACAGGTTAAAAGCAATGATGTGAAATTTTCACATAAGAAGTTAGAAAGCACAGCAAATTAAATACAAAATATTTGGACAAAATAGGAAATAGAAAGGAATGGAAATTAAAAAGAGTAGACAAGCAATAAAGAAAACAAAGTCAACAGCATCTTAAAAAGTTGAATAAGATCTACCAATACTAGTCAAAAGTAAAAAAGAATAAAAACACAAATTACCAACATCAAGTATGAAATAGGAAACATCGCTTCAGATTTTGCAGACATCAAGGGGATAGGATAAGAGAATAATAAGAACAATTTTATGCTATAAGTTAAACAACTGTTAAGAAATGGACACATTTCTTGAAAATCACCAAACCCAAAGCTAACAAAGGGAGAAATAGAAAATCTGAAGGGTTCTGTATCTATTTATAATATGTAATTCAGAATCCTCCTACAGAGAAAATTTTGGCTGCACTGATAAACTCAATCATGCACTTAAAGAATAAATAGCAATTTTACACAAGCAACTTTTGAAAGCAGAGGGAGCTAGAACTTTGTCCAATTCATTTTGCAGGTCAGTAAATCCTGATGCAAAAACCTAACAAAAATTGTACTGGAACAGAAAACTAAAGATCAATATCCTTCATGCAACATAGATGCAAAAAGCCTTAGCAAAATATTAATAAATTTGCCCATATGTAAAAATTATAACACATCATGACAAAGGGGGTTAATCCCAGGATTGCAAGGTTGGTCCTTTCTGGAGGTTATTTTGCAAATGGGGCACGAAGAATGTTCTGAGGAGATAAAAATATTCTATATCATGATTGGGATGTGGGTTTTGTGTGGATTTATATATTGTCAAAATTTTTCTAGCTTTACACTTGAGATCTTTGCATTTATTACATATAAATTACGCCACTATATGATTAAAAAAAAAACTCTCAAAAAAAGGAAAGCAAAGTTTGACTTCCATTTCTAGTTAGAATAGAAAAGTATGGGGCAGGTGAAACCCTCTTAAAGGACAATTAAAAATGCCAGATAAACTACAAAAGTCATTTATATAAAGCTTCAGAGAACTTTGGAAGCAATGAAAAGTAGATGGCTTAAGATTTCAACTACCTAGCTATCAAAAAAGATAGCTCATGCCATTTGCAACAACATGGATGGAGCTGGGAGAGATTATACTAAATGAAATAAGTCAGAAGGAGAAAGATAAATATTGGATGGTTTCATTTATATTTGGACTATAGAGAAACTGAACACAGGTCAAGAAAATAGACAAAACTTACAAACTGACCACAGATCTGAGGCATACAGCAAGGGAGAGGAAGGGAGCGGGGTCAAAACAGGAGAGGGAAAAACACAAGGGACTATGGTGATGGATCACAGGTGACATGCTGGTGGGAGAACTATGGGGAGCACACCTGAGGGTAGAAATCAATTACTGTATAAAAATGAACAAAGAGGTAAGAAAATAAATATATTTAGAAAACCAACAACAACAACAAAAGTTTTCAAAAAAGGAAAAGAGAACTTGGATGTGGGTAAGAGATGCTTTCTTCTTGGGAATTTGGCCAATTTTTTTTTTTTTTTTTTTTTTTTTTTGGCAAGCAAGAGACTGATAATCCAGACTTTGCTCAGGGAGAAGTGATCACTAGGATGAGAAAAACAGCAGAGAAAAAAGAAAAAGAAAACAGCAGTGATTTTAGAAATTTCACCTGGTTAGAAAGATTGATTTTATAGACTTGATAAATTTAATCCCACTGGCTATTATCTTTTCCAGATTTGGCAAAATCCGTCAAGACTGGAGGCTAAATAGCTATGATGAAAACTTCTTTCACTCAAGCAACTGTAGAGTCTAGGCTTCAATTTACCTCCCTGACGTAGTGCAAAGGGTGAGCACACATTTGCTTTCTTGCCCTTTTTGTTTTTGTTTATGAAAGTGTCTTTGCCTGCATGGCCTTGTCTGTTACTTCCAAATACGAAAATCAGTCTATTCTTTAAAACCAATGAAAATATAATATTTGCATGTTTTTGGAAAAATTTGTTATTCTGAACCCCAGAGTTCTCCTGTAACAAATGAGGATAAAATATACCTGCAAGATTGTGGTGAAGATGAAAGGAGATAATATAAATGAAAACACAATGTAGAATACTTGTACATAAAAGTTCCTAAAAAGTACTCTTCACAAATATCAAGATACAATAAATTGTATTTTTATATGCCAAAAAAGAGAAAGAAGTTGAAATACCAAACCATTTATAAGAGCATACAAACACAAAATACACAGGAATATACCAAAACCTGTTCTACATTAAAAACTAAACACAGAGCTTCCCTTGTGGTGCAAGGGGTTAAGAAGCAACCTATGAAGATAACCACAGCCACTGCAGCACGAGTTTGACCCCCCGCCAGGAAGCAACCCACATGGTGCAGCAGACCTATCCTGACTTGCCTGCTGCTCCCCTCAGCAGTGTATTTCAGTCAATCTGCCTGTTCTGTTCTCCACTCTGTCTCTGGAGAATCCTCTCACGCACACCGCTGCCCCCACCCCCCACACCTCTGGTTTGTACCCCAGCTCTTATATGCATAGAAATAAAATAAATCTTTATTTTTTTTTTAAAGATTTATTTATACATACAAGCACTGGGTACAGTCAGAAGTGCGAGAGGGTGAGAGAATTCACCAGAGCCAGAGCGGGGAGCAGAGCAGGCAGAAGGACCGAAGTACACTGCTGAGGGGAGCAGCGGGCGGCAGGACAGGTCTGTGAGCCATGTGGGACCCTCCTCTGGTGGCCGGGGAGCAGCCGGGGATCGAACCAGCGCTGCAGAGGCTGCGGGCAGCTTCGCAACCCAGCGCTCAACCACTGCGCCACCGGGGAGGCCCGAAATAAAATAAATCTTTAAAAAAAAAAAACGAAACTAGAACACAAAGCTGTTAGTAAACAAGAACTCCAAAAATGCAGGGATAAACAAATTATGGATTGGAAAACTCAATATTTTAAATATGTTAATTTTTCAAAAGCTATTATATATAAATTTGAAATAATTTCAGTCAAAATTCTAGTGAGATTATTTTTTATTGGAGAAATTATGAGCTCACTTTATATTTACTTATTTATCTAGAATTTCAGGTTTATTGAGGTATAATTGAATAGGAAATTGTGTAGTTGATTTTAAATTTTATATGGAAATGTAAAAGTTTGGATCTAAAGAATTTTTTAAAAATAATTCCATTACCAGATATTACTTTCTATTGGAAAACTACAGTAAGCAGTTAAAACATTACACTATTGATGCAAGGTTAGGTAACTAACCAACAGGATAGAGAGAGTTCAGAAACAGACCCACTTTTATTCATTACCTAGTTAATGATAAATGCAGCACTGTAGGGACAGGCAATTTTTTTCTATAATAGTGGGTAAATTGGATATATACATGAGGAAAAAAATTATCTGGATCTGTACCCCATTATGCATTGGGTTATGTTAAAAGTAATAACATCTGTTCATCAAAATACCTTAAGAGCACTAAAAGGCAGCCCAGATTGTTCGAAGGTATTCACAATACATATAGCTGACAAGGGACTCATATCAAACATATGAAATGAACCCCTAACAAAGTAATTAGACAAACTGACAATCTATCTAAAATGAAAGGTGGAAGTTTAAACACTTACCTCACAAAGGAGAGTAGAAAATGGCCAATAAATACAGGAAAATGTGTTCAACTTTATCAATCTTCAGGTAAAGGCAAACCAAGACTGCCATGAGATACCACTGTGCACATCTGAATGGCTATAACAAAAAGGCAGGAAAATATCAAATGAGGTTGCGGAGCAATTCACATATACTAGAGTGGGAGGGAAAATTGATATAACCTTTTTTGCATTAGCTATTCAAATTGAACACAGGTGTGGCCTGTGGGACAGCAATTCTTGGTCTATATCCAGGAGTAGAGATGTATTCTAGAACATTCACAACAGCACTATTCAAATACTCATCTGCAGAAGTATGGGTAGTGTGGTGCATTCACACAAAGGGATACTACACAGCACAGAGAAAAGATCTCTAACAACACAGAACAAGGTGGCTGCATCCCACAAAAAGAACGTTAAGCAAAAGATGCTATGGAAGAGTAGAGTGTGCTCAGGCTGTATGAATCTATTTACATAAAGCACAAGAAAAAATCCAGACTCACTGATGCTGTTAGAAGTGAAGTCAACTGTTACTCTGGGGGACGAGTAGTGAGTGACTAAAAGAGAGTCCAAGAGGTTTTTCTAGGGTGTAATAACTTGATCTGGGTGTTGGTTATGCTCAGTTTATGGAAATTCATCAAGCTGTCCATAATGATAATGCACTTTGTCCATGAGTATTATGCTTTCATGAAAAGTTAAACAATCTTTCCTTTTCTGTTTCTTTTCCTTCCTTTCAGAAAAGTGCCCTTCAGGGATGTGTTCAGCTTAAAACTCAACACGTTTCACTGAAAAAACCATCGCTAGGTAGATGCAATCTGACAGAATTTTTCCTTTCTCTCCTCTTATTCTTTAGTTTAAAGCTTCCTTGGATTAAATATTGGGCAAGTTCCATGATTTTTAAAAGAAAATAAATTGTCTCTTTGTTTTGGCATTTAAAAAGTCCATTTGAAGGCTAATAATCACATAACTTCATCCTGGTCCAAGGTAACCATCCGAACTTCAAACTCTTATGTAATAAAACCTTTTCCATTCCCCTAGCAGGGGCCTGACCTGGGTCTGGAAACCCACAGAGGCTGTAAGGTGCCCAGTTAGCTTCTTCATCAGTTCTCAGTTCCACATTCTGCTCACCTGCTGTTGACTTGTTTAAGCTTTTAGAGTCAGGCCAAGGCAGAGGGGATTAGGGGGATGGTGCTGCCTGATATGGTGGGAGCAGGTGCAGTGTGCTATTGATTGCTCTTGGATGCTGGCTCCCATAAAATGTTTTTGTGGGCTTTCTGGAGAGTGTCCTACTGAGATGTCAGATGGCAGTCCCCCCTCATCTTCTACATAATGCTTGTCTTTATGAGCTAGTCCCAGGCCTGTGCTTCCAAACAGCCTAGACAGACATTCTCAGTTGGGGTCCTCTCTTTCTGAAGGGCAGTTTTTTTGAGTATGATCTGTTTGAAAACATTCCAGATGTTCTTTCTCATGGAATCTTTTCTTCCTAAAAATAAATAAATAAATAAATAACCTTTGCCCAGCTATTTGTGGAGCTGCAGCTTTGTCCCAATAAATAAGTCTTCATTTAATATCATAGGTAAGTTCTTGGAAACTGTGACTTAAACAAAACAATCTATAGTTGAAACCAATTTTACAATAGACTAGTTGATAGAAATACCAAGCTTCTAAATAAAGACCCAATACTCTTCTAATACTAAACAAGCATTTGCATTTGTCCATTCATTTTTCAACCTATTTGTTTTGGTTCAGGGTCATGGGTGGCGAGAGCCTATCTTGGGCTTAAGGTGGGATCCATTCCTGGACAGGAGACTTTTCCATCACAGGACTAGCAAACATTCATTCAGACTGGGACAAATGAGCCAAGTCATTGAACCTCACGTGCACATCTTTGGGATGTGAGAAGAAGCTAGAGTACCCATGGAAAGCCCAAGTAAGGCATGGGGAAGATGTGTGACTCTGCACAGATGGCAGCCTAGCTGGAGTTGATTTTATTCCTCATCAACATTCTCATGGAATGACACTGAATGACATGATGTTATTTGAGGACCTGCTGTACATTCCCCTCTTCTCACTCTGCTGTCAGCTAGCTGCTCACCTTCACATGATAAGTTTAGGTTAATGCACAGGTGCTTGTGTTATCCAGACTTCTGAGGTGTTCTTAGAGCTCCCTCCCTTGAACCGAGGTGAAGGAAGGCAACTCCTTTCTTCCACCCAGAGGACCAGTGAGAAGGCAATGCATGGCATGCGACTCCTCTCACCAAAGAGATCCTCCCCTGGTGTAGTCTTGGGCAATCTTCCATGCTCTTGAGTTTGTCTCCCAGCATGCCCTGTGTAAATGGTCTGGCAGATGCTGTAGGGCAGTGGAGTCACTGTGGGACTTGGCACCTCTCAGGTTCTACTCAAAGTGAGACAGCAAAGTCTTATTTGAACATCCTCTTACATAATTAATCTCTTTCCTCTTCTCATCTATCAGAGTGTTTCTCTGCTGGCTTTTGTCACTTTCAACCTTGTGTTTAGTTATTGATGTGTATATCGAATTTCCCCTACTAGACTATAAGTTTCTGGAGAACAGGGTTCAATTCTGATTTAACTCTGTAAGCCTTTCAAAACCTAGTGGAGTGCTGGTACAGAATAGGAGCTTAATGTAGACCCAGGGAATGAGCGAGGGAATAATTAGAGTTGTTCTTTGCAGGATTGGTGACTTTTAGCAGGGCTCAACCTGACCTTTTGTTTAATACCCCAGGGTTTCCTGATTCTGTAGTACATGCTGAAAACTCACTCCTTCATTTGCTGCTCATTCAACAAATATTTTTTTGAGAATTCATTAAATTCCAGGCACTGGATAAGTGATTGGAAGTAAAACATAGTCTATACCATTTTAGAATTTACAATTAAATTGGTGTGACTTTGACATTGAGAAATGAGTAAGCTTTGGCTAGGTGAATAGGAAGCAGAGGAGCCAATCCTTGCAGGGAGATAACCTACAAGCACTCCTGACTCAGAGGTGAGAACATGTGGATGTATTTGGAGAGCGTAGATGAGTCAGGCTGTAACAGAGCAGCCTACAATAAGGACATGGTTCAGGCATGAAGATTAGTGTTCTTAAGTAGAATGAAGTGACTCTAAGAAAGAGACACAGACAAATGTGTGTGGATAAGGGTGGGTATCTCTGAGGACAACTCTGGAACCTGATTTACT